CTTGTCTTTTACTTCTGCAGATTTTGTAGGGAAAGGAGGTAATGGCTTCTTGACAAATTATGTCACAAAGCCATACATTTGGGATATGAAATTATCTATGTGCGTTATATGTTGCATGCCAAATATCCCGCACAACCAGCTGACATACTTACTGAATAATTCATGTTCTATTTAATGTTCAGCAGACAGCTGGAGTCACACTACTCTGTCGCCATCTAGTGACAAAATATGGACATAACTGATTTCCATGAAAGCAGTATGGCTTCATGGCTCTGGATCAGGGATAGTCAAAATTCGGAAATGGAAATTTGGATTCGGATGTGTTCGGAAACAAAACAGAGGTAACAGCTGGCCCAATTTAGCTTTAAAAGTAAATTTCTCCTGGGGTGCAACAAAAATAAATACCCAAAAACCATCAGAATTCTGCTTAAATATAGTTTCCAGTAAAGAATTTCAAGTCCTATTGGATCACACGGATTAGAAATGAGTTTTATTGCTTTGATATGGTCACCGACTGTCAGAACAGTACAAAGATCTTAAAAAGACACATTACAAATCGGATTTTTAAAAAAGACAAAAATACACAAAAGGATCCAGTCCCTGTGACATTTCATAAAGTTGGAGACGTCGTCTTATTCAGTAAGGCAAAGAACAGTTCAATATTCATAACCCAATTTGTTATTATGAGCTGCTTTGGGTTAATGCAAATGGTCATCCCCTGTGCATGGCCTTCCCGAGTTAAGCTGGCCATACACCTTACAATTATCTGCAGATTTTCTGTGGTCAGATGGAAAAGGTGCAACAGATTCCTCCACATACACTTAACTGTGTGGATGGAGTAATCTCCACCTGGGCCAATCTGTTGCACTTTTCCCATCTGACCACAGAAAATCTGCAGATAATGGTAAGGTGTATGGGCACCTTAAGCCTCCCATGAACTGGCCTCCCAGTCATTGCATCATTAATGGAAAAATAACTAGTAACAGGCCTATGAATCAGCATGGAGGAGGCAATTCCAGCTCCATATTAGGTTACAGTAGGAATAAGGTAAGGTTTGCAGTTTGAGTGTCCAGTTTCTGAGCCCCTCACTATGGGCCCCTTTACATAATTTGTTGTAGATAGAAAGCTAGTCAGATGACCAGAAATGAAAAAAATCTTCAAGAAAATATAGCAAGTCCAAGTGCTTTGATTTATTTTTTTACAGATAACCCGTTAGGACAAATTTGGTAAAACTTTTTCACGGCTTAATAGAAACCAACAGTTGGCTCCATGCATCTCTACACAGGAACTTCTGGAGGAGGGGTGCTCATACCCTGCCTGCTTCAGCCTCCTCAACCATGCTAGTGGTCCATCACTATGATAGACAACGACAGTTGGATCCACATATCTCTACACATCTGGGAGGAGGAGGCGAGCACGAACCTTGCCTACTTCTGCACCAGGCTAGTGGTTCATTACCATGACAGACACCAACAGTTGGCTCCACGTATATCTACACCTAAACATCTGGAGGAGGAGGTGAGCTCATACCCTGTCTACTTCTGCCTCCGGAACCATGCCAGTGGTCCATTCCTATGATAGACACCAACAGTTGGTTCCATGCATCTCTACACATGAACATTTGAAGGAGGTAAGCTCTTACCCTGCCTACGTCTGCCTCCTGCACTGTGCTAGTGGTTCAGCACCATGACAGACACCAACAGTTGGCTCCACGTATATCTACACCTAAACATCTGGAGGAGGAGGTGAGCTCATACCCTGCCTCCTGCACTGTGCTAGTGGTTCATCACCATGATAGACACCAACAGTTGGCTCCATGTATCTCTACACAGGAACTTCTGGAGAAGGATGCGAGCGCTTACCCTGCCTACTACCGCCTCCTGAACCATGCTAGTGGTCCATCACTATGATGGATATACATCCTGATCAAGAGCAAAGTGCAGGACGTGGAAGATCAGGAGTGTCAAAATGTTTTTTTATTTTAAAATCAGGATTTTCTTCCCCATTTTCCAACAGTAAATTAGTTTAAAAAAAACACCACCATATGAAGTTGCCTACAGATCTTTATACATAGTTGCCTCGTGTTTTACAAGGATTAGAGAGTGGGGGAGGGGGGGGGGTTTGGAGAGTGACCAATGCAAAAAAAATGAAGCTACTACCTAGTGAAGAAAGAAGGTGTAATCATACCAAGTACATAGTCTTTACCCCACCACCTGCCCACACATAGGCCAATTCCTTTTAAGGGCTCTTCCACCAGCAAACATCCTCTCAAGCCATTTAGGGTTATTAGGAGCCCCTCATTTCTCATATGTAAATTTTCTTAACAAGAAGTCTATTAAAAGTTATTAAATCATTAATG